AACAGCAAACTGCCTCAGAGCTGATTAAAAGGTGTTATTATAAGAATTTTAGAAGAAATAACCTACATTAAAAAGTCACCAGACTTTTAAAATAAATTACTTATTCAATTACTTAAAGTACGGGGTTGTCACATGTGGTTGCCGCAAGCCCTCCGGTCGCCGCTCACTCAAGCCCGCCGTGTGTTTCGTTGTGAAGCGAAACTACTTTTGTACCTTCCAAAAGAGAACACGACTAAAAATCAGTGGTTAAGTTGTATTTACAACACTGTTCCAGAACAGTTCAACCCAAATATTCAGATGTGTGCAGCACATTTTATGGAGGACTGTTTCCTGATCCTGGTAGAGACACCTTGCTTTTCAGACCGATGAGCTTTGTAAAAATCTAGGCGTTTCAGAAAGGCGGGGCATAAAGGAGAAACATTAATGTACAGTATGTGGAAAATAATGTGTTTTTTTAACCTTAAACCACATAAACACATTTCCTTACACCAAATACACAAAATAATGTTCTTTTTAGCAACATCATATGACCCCTTTAACCAAAAGCAATAATTAAATGAATCTTATTTTATTCCAGGAAGTACAAATCAATATTGAGAGGCTAAAATGTTTTACTTCATATGCAGATCCACAAAAGATCTTATTGTGGTTTCAATGAAAGTAAAAACCTAAAGGGCTTCAACAACTTTACAATGTCATATATACATAGGAAGATAAGATAAACAATGTTTCTTTTAACCTTGTAATCTTGTCAAATTTAGATAGGATTATCATCTGACTCTCCACCTGATAGCAAACTCAAAATAACAAAGCAGGGCAAACTACAACATTAAATGTCTGCAATTTTATGTATTGACAGAGGCTTTCTACACTTGCTTACTAATACACATGCACTATCAAACTACACAGTCTATACATTTGATTAAATATCTGTAATATGATCCTTAATTTGTAAAACTTGTAATCTGTTCAAATCTGTTAAACTGCAGATGCCTATATTCTCTTTTGCAGATTGTCCAGCTTTTCCAGATGTAAAGGTCATTATAATCGGCAGTAAAGCAGAGTACAAATGCACTGCAGCTAATACCATTCTAGGTCATATTGACTGTAAAGTGGGCAAAGAGATAGTCAAGAGTGAAATGAAACAGAGGACAAATCAGAACAGGTCTTTTACTTTGGTAATGACACCAGGATGGTGGAAAACCTTCACACTGGCAGAGAGTACAAAGTATATACAGATGGAGATTGTGCACAGCTTAAAACTGTGTCCTGCTCCACATGCCTTCCTTCTAGTCATCAATCTACACGAAGCATTCACAGATGTGCACCTAAACAGTGTTCTGGAACACATGGAGATTTTTGGTGAGCAGATCTGGAACCACACCATCGTTCTGCTCATGTACATCAACACAGAGCAAAGAGATGCAGATTGCAAGCAGCTAATTGAGAGAGCAGGGAAAGAGCTTGATGCTCTAATACAAAAGTGTGAGAACAGAGTTCATGTCTTCAATTATACTGACAGCAGGGGGATAAATGTACAAACACTGTTTCATGAGATAGAGAACTTGGTAGCAGGGCATGTGGGACAGTCCTTTAAAACTGACAGCAAACTGTTTGAAGATATGGAAGAAAAGAGAAGAAATGTGAAGAAACAAGCAGAAGAGAGAGAGATTCAAGTAAAAATAAAGATGCAAACCTTACAAGAGCATCTAACAGGTATTGTGCATCTTTGGTTTAAAAAAAATGTTGGAGAGCATTGTACAATTAATAGAAAATCTTTAATTATATAAGTAATATAACTCCAGCTGAATGTTAAGAATTGTTCATGAACTTTCCTGTTCTTTCTAGCAGAACATTCTTTTCCAGAGTTAAGGATTGTCTTGATGGGTGCCAGAATTGTTGGAAAGACTTCAGTGATGAACACCATTCTGAAAAAAACACAAAAGGAGAACAGGACTAAAACGAGCGTGAAGAGAGAGGATAAGGTCAACAAGAGAAATATAATTTTAATTGACACACCTGGATGGTGGCCATACGCGTCTGTAAAGGAGACTTCAGAGTCAGTCAAGCAGGAGATCATGTCAAGTGTTACTATGTGTTCACCAGGACCTCATGCAGTTTTGCTGGTTCTGCAGTCTGGTGTCGCCTTCAGTAAGGCATATGGAAGGTCTGTCAGGGAGCACATGGATCTCCTGGGTAGAAATGTTTGGAGGCACTGCTTAGTGGTGTTCACCAGGGGTGACTGGATGGGGACTCCCACTATTGAAGAACACATTGAGAGTGAAGGTGGAAACAGATATCATATTCTTAACAACATGCAGTGGGATGATGGGAAACAGGTCAGCGAGTTGATGGAGAAAGTGGAGATGATGGCCAGAGGAAACACAGATCTCCTGACACCTGTGGAAGAAGCAGAAAAGGAGAGTGACAGTGGGTGGGGATCCAACAAGTCAGACCAAGACAAGTTAGAGAGAGGAAGCGTAGATCTGGTTCCGCCTGAAAGTAAGTCTGTCAAACTTCCTGCAGAATAATATTTTTTGTCAGATGTTAAACTAACAGCAAACCTTCAATTGTACTCACTGCAAAAAAGATTATCCTAACTAAACATAGACTTGTTAAGTTTCCATAGTAATGATCCATGTATTCTCTCCAACCCTTTTAAAAATATTTTATCATCAAAACATGTTCATGCAAAGTTTTCTTAATCATCAAATTTCTTTCTGTAGTGCACAACAACAGCAACGTTATGGAATGGCTTGAAAATGAAGCTAATGTGTTTAACTATAGAAACTCATCAGAATTTTCAGAGGACATTTCAGAGGATGTCACACAAAGTTAATGGCACTGATGGTTTGCAGAGGTAAAGAAACAGTAACACCACAGCTATTCATTAACAAGTGAAAATTTGTACAAATGTATTCTTGAAAAAACTTTTGTTTGTGCAGTTTCTCAAATCTTTGAAATTAGACCAGACTTCAAAAAGAACAAGTGTGTGCATGAACTACATTAAAAGTTATTATATTTTTACATTTATAAGGTTTTTGTTTCTTTTCATCTTTCATTAGTATACACTAATTTTCCATATGTATAGCTAAGCAATAAAATCATTTTAAACTTTAAATATGGACTTGAATTCTGTAATTTGCTTTATTTTTTTATACCATCAGCTCAACATCATGACAGTTTGATAACTTGTGTGTGTGTGTTTGTGTGCGAGTGAGTTTATAAGTATTTGCTCCAGTAGTTCAGTGCTTGACATGTATATATTTTTCTTATTATTCATAGTCAAACTAAGGAAGAAAATGTTAATGCTGATGCTAATGCTAGATTTTATTTGCAAAACTGACAAATGTGTTTACTTGCATCATAACTGGTGTATCTTAATCCATAATTGTTCAGATGGTAAAGGAAGATTAGTTTCACATCTGTGCCATACTGTACATTTGTGATCCATTAAATTATGATGCCTTGGTGTATGCATTAGTAGTGCAAAATTGTGAAAGTTTTACATTGACTATTGATAATTCTGTTATTTTCCCTTCTTTTCAGGTTAAGAGTCTGGGTGTCATCCTTGACAGCACTTTATCTTTTGAGGCACATGTAAATAATATTACTCAGTCAGCATATTATCATTTGCGAAACACTGTCTTCGATCATCTCTTTCTGCTAATAGTACTGCTGTCCTTTCACAAGCATTAGTTACATCTCGCATCGACTATTGTAATTTTCTTCTCAGTGGTGTTTTACAGAAACTGTCCAGAATTCAGCAGCTCGGACCATTACACGAACACCATTGTTTGTGCATATTTCTCCAGTGTTAAGGCAACTCCATTGGCTTCCAGTTCAATATATCGGATTCAATTTATGATTTTACTTTTCTTCATAATCTGGCACCTTCATATGTGCATGAACTTCTTCGTGGGTATTCACCTACTCAATCTCTCAGGTCTTCTGCTTCTGTGACTTTAGTTGTACCATCTGTACATTTGACTACCATGTCTTAATTTTTAAATCACGTCTTAAAACTCATTTTTTAGCTTATTCTGATTGATATAGTTTTGTGTATTATTGTGCATTGTTTTCTTTTCATTGATTGTTTATGTATTTACTATTTTATTAATTGTGAAGTGTCCTTGAGTGTTCAAAGGCACCCATAAATAAAATGAATTATTATTATTTTATTATATCTTCTTCAGATGAAACAATCTCCTCACCTGCACAGATGGCATTCATTTTTGACGGAGTCTGTTTATTACAGCAGCCTGTTATGTGAACATCTTTGTAGTGGAGGAGTCCTTGCCAAACCAGAAAAAGAAATAGCATTTCTGAAAAATATAATAATGGCAGTTTTTTTAGTTTATTTTTATTATTTACCACCAAACCAGTATTTTTTATATATATAAATATACAGTACATAATTAGAGCTGCTTAGTGACAGGCTGTAGCCTACTGGAAGGCTTTGCCATGGGCTCCTTGGTAAGAGGGTTTATGGATAAAATATGGTTTGTGGTTAACAAAAAAAAAAAGTTTATTTTCCTGTTTTTTTGTTGTTGTTTTTTTTACACTTTGTTCAACAACATAAATTGAATAAAGTTATAGGCCTACATGACTATGTGAAAGCCTATGTTTTCCAAACACATGTTTCTAACAAGCTGTCTTTCATGGACTACAATTGTTGTCCAAGTCATCAGACACATAAACTCACATCCTTGTGGTAGTTGTAGTCCTTATTTAGCAACTTGTTAGCAATGTAGCCACTCATGTTTTAGTAATAGCCTACTGTAAACCGAACAGCTCTCTTACTGTAACTCTGTAGCAATGAACAACTCCAATTTTATAGCTAAAAGATGTGAAATACAACGAGAACCAGGAAATGTATGTACCTACACCGTACTCGTGGAAATGGCATTTTTCTTGTAAGAATTATTACCTATAGGATAAAATAATTTAAAATTTAAAAAATTCCAATTACGTCATCTAAAAAGAAAACGAACCGTAAAGGCCTCGCTCTTAAGGCAGCTCAAAGACAAACATGACTCGTAATTGCTCGTTAATTACTCTGCAGAGACAGTGTCCGGATTGGACCGACAGACTCACAGACAGACATCCGTCGATGCTGCAGCGTCAGTGTGCTCAACAAAGGCTCAGGCCGGGGAGAGGGCCATTTTACCAAATACAAAGGAAGCAGAGCAGCGAGGGAGGGGAGGACTATGGGAATGACGGGAATAGCGAAATATCTCTTTACGAAATCGCAATGTGCCATCAAACCAAACACTGAACAATGGGTGAGAAGTGATCAGTCACGATTACAGCAGAATATACAGTGTAACGACAGTACAGCAAATAAATAATTTAGATGTCGAGCTGCCTGCTGTCAAAGCCGACTGCGCATCACGGTGGCAAAATGCCGGAACAGCACTGATGATATTACGACCCAGACACTGTACGACCTAATCTATCCTAATATTGAAAACAGCCGTGAAAGATGATCGTCTGCTGGTAAGTGTTTATATCATTTACAATCAGTACACTCAAAATGTCAGAGACGTCAAAGTATTTCATATAGTCATAAGAAATATGAATCATAATTGGTTATGATGATCATAGAGCGCGCCGGAGGACGCAACAGGTCGCGCGTACAGTAGAGCTGTAGTTCCGTGTGCATTTGGCTGACGTAATTATGACATTTATACAAGAATTTTACGAGGTGTATTATAGCATATTGACTTGCAAGCTAAACACTTTATTGTGTTTTGGCATGAATATCATTTTAATAAAAATGTCTTGAGTTTTTCAGGCGTTGAAAATTGTGTTCTATGGTCATCTTACGTTTTGACACAAATTATATAATAATGTGTCATATGTAAGGAATGTGTGCATAACCAAATGCTGTGAAAGCCAAATAATATAAAAAAAATAACAATAAAATAAATAAATAAATAATTAAATGAAAGAAAGAAAGAAACGTGTGTACATGAAATATATAATTCTGTTGAGTGCAAGGATGTATAATGGTTTTCTAAATTAAATACCATTACTTTACAGATTATGCTACTGAAAACTCCTCTGAAAACAGGACACATCTGTATTATAGACAGTCAAAATGTAGACGGTCTCAAATTCTATTATTAGGCCTTAACTGTATTAATATAGTAATGCCACTGAAATAAGATAACCTCTGCAAGCCCTTTTAAGTTCTAATTAAGTTAATGCTGGCCTGTTGAATGCATGACTTTAGTTTAAAGTTTAAAGTCAGAATATGACATTATAAAACAAATATAATACAAAATGGTAACTATGAATACATGTGGTCCCCTGACAGATTCTTTGCAATAAGCTATAAAATATATATATAAAAAATACATGAAATAAAAAAATGTCTATAAGTGTTTACCAAATTGCACTTTATACTTCGTCTCAGCCCTTCATGCTCTTACCTGGTGTCTAATTATTAAATACTACTGAGACGTAAAAAAGGGCCAGGGGAACGCCTTAAAACTTGGGGGTGTAAGGGAAAGGAGGGGTATATGCATGAGTAGGTGGTGTTCTGCGTTATTTGAATGCAAATGCAGAGAGAACAAGCCGAGACTGTGTTTGAGAGAGAAACGGGGAAAAGGAGGTGGAGAGTTGTCTTTGGATTTTAGTTAGACACTGAATAGACACAGATTTAGTTTGCCAAGTGCTTAGTTCACTTTTGAGACATTGCTTGCTCATGTATGCACCTGGCATTTGGCCTTGTAGCTCTCTATATAAATGAAACATGGATTTTTGATTGTTTCTCTGAACTGATGCAGTGAGATTTACTGTAATTTAGCTCAAAGAGAAAGATTTTCAATCTGTTTCAACCCATGGGCCAATTAGCCTTTGACTTTCCCCTGCATCATGTCACGCCGGAAACAGAAAAGACCTCAGCACTTTTTCAGCCCCATCCTCAACAGTTCGTGGCTACTTCAACATGGTGAGAAATGTTTTACTGTTTAGTAAGAGAGCTCCATTGTTTCTGTCAGTGAGCCGTCTTGCAAATGTCATTCAAGATATTTGCTGTGACATTAACAGATTCATATGCTTACAGTATCTGATCTCATTTTAAGAAAAGTAAAATAAAACAAAAGTAAAAATAAAAGGAATTTCTGTAATATTTGGACATAGTTACATCCCAACAGCTTCCTTTGAATGAATGTCCAATTAGTACTTTTCATCTTCCGACCCAAGCTTGGATTTTAGACCACCCACGATATTATGGCTATCGAGAATGTAAAAAAAAAAAAAAAGAAGAACAAATAGTGAAGTGAACATAAAAGGAACAGGAATGTGTAATATGCTGAACTGGATTTTGAAAAGGGGATTAGAAATAGGTTGTGGAAAAAAGTGGACAACACTGAAAAAGAAGGAGACACTTGAGTGCCTTAACGGGAATGGCATGAGACTTCATTGTCTCCGTGAGGCTTTGTGGTCGTGCACTCAGGAAGTACATGCATAAAAGTGTGTTGATCTGTGACTTAAATTCTACAGTTCTTGAAGTACAGGAAACTTTATGCATCTCTCCCTAGCATATGCATGTGTATGTATCGCTAAGTAATTTGTATTCATGCTATTATGTCTTTTTGATATAGCTCTGATGCTGAAGGTCACTTATTTTAAGCAATCTTGCTGTTTTCAGTGGTTGACAATGGCACTAAGACTCAATGACCTTTCAGGCTTCGCTGAGTTAGGACAGAAGATTTGTTTAAATATATGAGATGTAATAGCATATATTCACTTACTCAGACTAGGTGGGTTGTGAAGGGGCTTAGGAATTTTGTGGTGAGGTTCATTGTCCATGTTCATTGTTGCTGTGGAAACAAAGTTGGCTGTAAGCTGGTTGAGAGATGGGATTTCAGATCAGAGGGAGTGAGTGGATAGAGAGAGCGATCTAGGAGGAGACAGCAATGTACAGGACTAGCTAAAAAAGAGGTGACAATTAACAGTAGCATTATGTTCTTCATATTTTATGAGATATGATAATAGATGCATTTATTAATATTAAAAAGATGTTGTTGAAGGGTAATGATAATGAGGGTTTAAGTGGCACAGTAGGTGGCATTTATGGGAGCCTTGGTTAGAAGAGCAATACTACACTTTGATTGGCCTTTAATACAAATACAGTGTTTCTAACAAGGTCAGCCAGAGGTAAACTCCCCATATGTTATGTTTCCTAGGTGATGTTTGTGTAAGCAGTGAGTAGAAACAATTGAAAAGCAGTAAAGATTACAACAATCTAAAGAAAATTAAAGTACTAAAGGTTAGAAATTTGGTTTGGAGGTTTTAAAGGGTTTATCAGCTTCACAAGTGACACAATGACAACAATAGTGTGGCAAACAACAAACAATAAAATTAATTAAATTCCAAAACTCATTGTGTAATATAATCTATACAATCTATTTTCTCTTTACTCAATTCCTAATCACTAATTTAAATTACTCAGTGTAATACATTGATTTTATTAAATAAAATAATACATTTATCTGTGTGTTGTTGTTGTCTCCGTGTACTGGAAGCTTGTGACACTATAACAAATTCCTTGTATGTGCAAACATACTTGGCAATAAAGCTCTTTCTGATTCTGATTTAGAATGACTGTTTAAACAGTACATTCTACTGACAACTATATGCATATATAAATATTGTTGTGGCTACCTTTATTGGTCTAATTAGCATTAAAATAATGTATGTGTACCTATTCATAAATATATAACAATCTGCTTAATATCAAAGAAATTCCTGAATAGGTACCGTTTTTTTCCTTGCACCTTATTGAACTTGCATTATAAACATTGGACTAGCAGTATCAGAAGTACAATAATAATCAATTATTTGCATGGCATAAATTGTTGCATAAATAGTTTCTCTCTGATTTCTTAGAGGAGCAATTGGCAGTGAAGTCCCTCAGCTCTACTCTTGCAAAGAACTCTTGCTCTTCCTCACACTCAACAACTCAAAGCCGCCAATCTTCCTTAAACCCAAGCGCACCAGTTGAGAGGCTCACACCTTCTCTGCCTAGAGCCAGCCATCCTGTTTTTCACATCCCTAGCCAGCCCATACAATTTCCTTCAGACCTCAAAGTGTCTCACCTTTTCCAAATTTCTGACATCCCATCCCATTCTACTAATCAGTGTATCACTACCACTGCACCAACTGTGCTCTCTACCCACAACCACACTCACTTACCCATGGCTTCTCCAAAGTTAGGTGTGTCAGCAACCACAACCTCCTGTTCATCCTCCTCTGCTGCTGCTTCTCTCTGTGTGCCTCCACACCCTGGAAGCCCTAGTTCAGTGCCTCAGGGTCCTCCAAGTCCAGTTACACCCTCTTCCAGCCCAAGCACAGTCCCCTCAGCCCCAGCATGTGCACCCGTCAGTATTGCTTTCATCTTGGAGGAGCTACGTGTGCTGCAGCAGAGGCAAATTCATCAGATGCAGATGACTGAAGAAATCTGTAGGCAAGTACTGAGATTGGGAGGAGGATCTTGTGAAGTGGATTCAAAACCATTTACACTACCATCTCTGCCACAGCTCTGTTTAAAAGGTTCTGTTAACAACCCCAAACCTTCCCGACCAAAGTCATCACCTCCCCCTACCTCTGTGGCTCCTCTTTTGGCCTGTTTCTCATCCCTGCTACCCCCTCAGACAACCTCTAAGTCCTCCAGACATACCCACCCTCTCTTGAATGTCTTACGCCCCCATAAAGCACAGTATGACAGCAGCGTAGTTACTCCAGCAAGCTTCACCAGTCACACAAGTGCTTCCACATCCTCATCAATGTCTACAGGTGCTGCCTCGAACTATCCACTCACACTTTCTCTTGGCCTTCCATCCCAAAAATCATTCAACACAGGAACTAGTGGACACAGTGGTGTGACCTTCCCAAACCAATCTATACCAGCAGCTGCTGTCCCTTCAGCCCCCTCACAGGATCCAAAACTCTCTGCTCAAGGAGGTATGACTGTCTCATCGTCAGGGCGTACGCAGCATGCATGCCGATTTTGTCGGAAACTCTTCAGCGGTGATTCATCCCTGCAAATACACTTGCGTTCACACACGGGGGAGCGTCCTTACCAGTGTCCTGTATGTTTCAGTCGATTCACCACACGAGGGAACCTCAAAGTCCACTTCTTGCGGCATCGTGAGCAAAACCCTGAAGTCTCTTTTTCATTGTTTCCCTGTTCGCTTTTTGCATCTGTAACTGGGGGCTCAATGGGAGGGTCAGCACAAATGCAACCAAATGCACAAATCACCTCCACCAATACAAATGCTACTCAGAGGCATCAAAAACAGCAAGAGGATGATCTGCGTGGAGACAGTCCTGAGGGAACTACTGCCTCAACACGTGCCACAACCTCATCTCTGCCTCCTAGTATTGATTTGGCCCTACTGACCACTGCACACTCTCTGCTTCAGCTCAATCGTGCCGCTGCTGCTGCGGCTGCTGCAGCCTCTACATCCACTACCTCCTCCATCACATCCTCATCACCTTCCTCTCTGGCCTCCACCCTTCTCTCAGCCCCTGCCTCATCCACCTCCTCCATTGCTGGGATGTATAAAGGAGTGAAACGCTTTGATGAGAACACCCCACCAATACCTACTCTGCTCCCCCATTCTGCTTACTCACAGCTTGCCAATTTACCCAAAATCTTCTTCCCAACATCTTCAGCTCAGCATCATGCAGGCCATGGGTTTCTCAGGCCAACTCCTGCTGGATCCTTCCTGCCATCCCCACAACAACACATCACATTCCCGTTCACAGCATCATCCACTACCCCATCCATCTCAACCCCAACCTCAGACACATCGAAGCTGCAGAGACTGGTGGAGAAGTTAGAGAAAGAACCACAAGGTCAGTCACATTGGGTTCCATCCATTGGGGAGACTTCTACCAGCAGCCATACTGTAGCAGGAGCAATAAGCTATAGCAGCAGTGGTTTAATGAGCACTAGCACAAGTACAAATGTGGTCACCTCACTTCCATCATCTACAATCCAAATACCATCATCCCTCTTCAGCAAGGAGTCACCCTACCTGGGACTTATGCACTCTGCTGGGACGCTTGCCCCTAATCAGTGTAGTGTGTGCCTGCGGGTGCTAAGCTGCCCAAGAGCATTACGATTGCACCAGGCTACTCATTTAGGTGAACGACCCTTCCCCTGCAAGCTATGTGGTCGATCCTTCTCAACTAAAGGAAGCCTTCGAGCACACCTTGCCACCCACCGTGCCCGCCCACCAAACAGTCGTGCACAGAATTCTTGCCCCTTATGTCAACGGAAGTTTACCAATGCCCTTGTGCTACAACATCATATCCGCATGCACTTAGGAGGACAGCTTCCACCAGAGCACATGCCAGATACCTCAACAGAATGTGATATTTTGTCCCATTCCGAGTCTATTGAGCTCTCTGCTTCAGAGATGAGCCCTAGTGCTACAGATGTTCAGTTACTAAATGATCTACAAACTATTACGGATTCTAGACATACTGAATCCCTGGCTGTCAGTACTGCTCTTACAGCATGTGCCATAACCTCCAGCCTACCAGCTTCACTTAGCTCGGGTCCTATACCACCTTTAGACCTAAGCCCTGACCCATCCCTGAATCCAACCACCCATTCACCTCCAACATTCAGAGCTGATCCACCTGAGCTCTCTCTCAGTGTACCTTCTCCAGTGGATTCTGCACCCTCCCTTGTCCCCCCTGCCACCCAATCAGCATCAGCAACAACTGGTCCTGATGCCACTGATGAACTATCTTTTGAACTTTCCAGCAACACTGCCTTCTTGGAAGATAAAAAGATTTCAAGCTCCCCTTCTCTGAAGAAAGAAAGTCCACAAAGAAATGACTGTGAACGCAGTGAAAATAGATCTGTCTCACCTATTCCTTGCTCTGGATCCAGATCAAATCTAGAGGATCTTCTTAGTATACAAGCTCATAATGCGTCCAGAGTTCCTCCACCACATCCAGAATCAACACCACCTTCTCTCCTTGCGCTGAGATCTGAGAGTGCGTCTTCTCATACAGTACGCCTAGAGGAGCTTGATCAAAGCCTTCTCCAAAAATCTAAATTAATCCCCCAAGAGTTCTCTAAGGAAGAAAAGACGGAAGATAAAATACATAAAACACCAAAGAATGGACAAAAGACAACTCCAGATTTGAGTATTAATGCAGATATGGTATCAGACACTGTAAACAAAACAAATGAGGATGAGACTGAGGATCGTGACACACATGTGCAGAAGACCATAAAGGAAGCTCACTGTAGTTCAACTGCAAAGGATAAAGCAGATACAACAGCAACTGAAATGGACAGAACAGAATCAACTGTATGCATATCACTGACTCCCAGTCTTCCACCTCCAATGCCAGAGAAAAAAATCTACCACTGTTCTGAATGTGGAAAAGAGTATGCAAGTCGCAGTGGACTTAAGGTGAGTAGCATTCTGAATTCATTAAGCTAAAGAATTATTATCATAAAGTGTGAACATACAGTTTAACATGACACAATGTTAGTTGCGCAAGAGATTTTCATCCTTGTCTCGGTGCAATTCGAAAGTTACATGACAATTAAAGAACATCTCTTACTATAACTTCTAGGGACACATGAAGCACCATGGAGGATTTGTCAAGGCACCCCGAGCTCTTGCAAAGACCAAGGGCCCAGAGAGAGTTTTGCATCATGAGCGTTCACAAACTCACCACCTTGCAACCTTTCTCCCACCAGGACATCAGTGAGTCTAGAGGAACCAAGCCCCCTAGAAACATCAGCAAGCAACAGAATGCTCTCCCCTAGACCCTGTTAAAGGAATCAGAAACAACGTATTAAGATTAATTTAATAGCTGACAAAAGGGAAGAAACCTGAAGGATATTATGGACTATGACTCTAGACTGAAAAAAAAAACACAACCCCACACGTGTACACACATAGAGGGTTATTCCTTGGTTAAAAAAAAATGTCCCTGATCTTTAACCCAGATCCAAATATTAAAATACCTGCATTATGTATTTTAATATATGTAATGTCTAAATATCTTATAGTACTTCCTTGAATATTATGTGATGTTCTTTTAGATAAATGTAAATTATTTTGTCTGCGTAAGTTAAGATGGATTCATTTACTTTTCCAAAGTGAAGATATTAAGGTAGCTAAGGATTTGAACAGTAGCTTTGGGTGAGGAACAGACCAAAATTTACTAAGCCAATGATGACATAATTGATCATTTCCTTTATTGTTATTGTATTGGTATACCATTTCTTTATTCTTAAAGAACATTTAAAAAATATGCGGTGTTTTTGATTAAAATCCGTAAAGGATGGTAAAATTTGGAGGGAGTGTATTTCAAATGAAGAAATATACTACTTACTCAATTAAAAAGCACCTTGTTCCACGGCAGCCATGCACAAATCATTGTTATCAACCTTTGGTCAAAAATTCAAGCTCATATCAGTTTTCATAATAAGCTCAAATGTTTAAAAATATACCCTACTCAAAACACTTAATAATAAATGTTAAATTGTTTTCTTAGGGCAAACCAACTGTGAACAAGTGCTTTTAACAAGCTGATATTTTAAACATTTAATAAAATTTACATTATGTAAATTCACATGAAATATTCTTGACTTGTACTAAATCTTCAGGCTTTTACTTACCAGTTTACCAGTTGGAAAGCACCAAAACACCAAACTGTAAATATGACCTGTCAACCTATGTCCATTGTGTCCATGTTTGTCCTGTCCAGCTGTACAGTATTAGGCAATATACTGCTCTTAACGCCAACTAGACAAAAGAGTCGGGTAAGATTGTTTAACAAGCCTGTATGTCAGTGTAAGCTCCTGTTACTTTAATATTGTCAGTGTAGCTATTGAAAAAGATAGAAATAAATTGACTGATTCTGAGATGAACCACTATCTAGCTAGTCTAAAAGGTAACCCTTTCTATACTTCTTGGTGGAAATGTTTGTTTCTTTGGTGATGTTTGTTCTTTGTCTGGACACTTTTACATGTACCTTCTATAGAAATGAATTGGGTGTATGAGACTGACTGTGAGTTGTAATTTCATGGTACAGCAAAAAGATAAAAAAGGAAATAAAAAACAGTGTATTCATGACAAGAACCAGAATATGCATTTCTTTTAATCACGCACTCTTTGTTGTTGTTTTTTAGAGTATAAATCTCATCTGCAGTGATGTTATTCTTCCTTGGTGGTCTGAGGGAAACACAGTTTTCTTCACATACAGGCATCCCTAATCTGTTCACTCCCTAACACAATCAAACTCCTCTGCACTGCTTCTGTGTGTGCCACATCAAGCGCAGTGAGGGAGAAACTGGAGGAAGCGTTGACAATCTGTCTGAGGACTGGTCTCTAATCTCTTGCACCATGACAACCATGCAGAGGCACACAAGGAAGACAGAAAAAAGCAGAGTATAGTCTGTGTATGTGTGTCCAGGGATATGTGTATATTGGTGTGATGTTCATATTCTGCATGTATGGGTTTTTAAAATGAGTACTAAACCTGTATAAAAATAGTTTTCAGAATTACATTTACAAATGCTGCACCTAAGAGGGTCACGTGTGCAAGCTCACTAACAGGGTAGACTATTTGTAAACTTCACCAAGCTGGACTTTATGGCAAGGGTGGCATTTGGTAACTGCTTGTATCCAAGGCCAAATCACCACGTCACAAAATCTGCAATACTACTATCCCTGAAAAACCTTGGATCTGAGCAATGGAAAAAGTTATATGGCCTAATAAATCATCTTTCACTGTTAGTGAAACTGATAATAGACTGATAATAGCACATACGAACAACTTCAAGTTTTATGAACACCAGGATGTTCAAATAGACCTCATGTTGCATTCAAACCTACCTTAACATCATTGAACCTTTCGATAGAAGTAGATTTTCACACAAATCTGTTTAGGACAGCCCAGCAACAAGGATGGAAGCTCTTCTAAAAGTAAAAGGAACGCTCCTTATTAGACACTTGATTTTAATATACACTGAACAAAATTATAAACACAACACTTTTGTGCCACACCTGTGAGGTGGATGGATTATCTCGGCAAAGGAGAAGTGCTCACTAACACAGATTTAGACAGATTTGTGAACAATATTTGAGAGAAATAGGTCTTTTGTGTACATAGAAAAAGTCTTAGATCTTTGAGTTCAGCTCATGAAAAATGGGGGCAAAAACAAAAGTGTTGTGTTTATAATTTTGTTCAGTGTATTTTTCTCTTATGTACGAAACATGCAATGACAGAATCTTACCAGTGTGTGGCAGTGTTGAACCTTAGCTCATAGACTGAAGACAAAAACTGGTGTTTTTTTTACAAACAATATACTGTACTTCAGTTTGCCACTGAAATGCTGTTAAATCATAACATAATGGACTATGGAGCCTGGATAAAATACACCACTGTAAACATATTTAAAATCGTCCCAATCTAAAAATTGTATTAAACCAATCAATAAATCAGAGTTAAAGGGAATACACTTTTTTTCTATCATGGTGGGGGACTTTCCAATGACATATATACACACCCATTTTTAATTCACGGCTGTCACAATAACATAAACAATAACATAAAAAAGGCAAATTAAATTAAATTAATGCCCTGGCATTATGCGCATATTTTTCCATTCAATCAGTTGAAATTATTAATTTTGTCATGCTTGCTTGCTTTAGCAATGTTTTGACCAGTCATTGAAGTACCGCAAACAGACAGATGGTAAACACCAAACGAATGTTAAGCAAAACCATGAATTAAAATGGCAAAAGCTAAACAATAGCCTAGTTAAAGGAGAAAAACTATGGCAGATGAAATATTTTCTCTGTCCACAAGGTCAAGCCAAGCAACGCAGAAGAAGGTCGTCTGGAAGGCCATTAAGTTCGAGCAGTTGAAGGGAGCGGGATGGGCTAATGTTGAGGAGGGAGGGCTTTGGCTTTTCAGGATCAGTTTTTTTGGCAACACCTATCGAGCGACCACGTCTACAGCCCGGAGAAAGGGGCTGCCTGTGCATATGAAACCGAAGATTTGAACCAACTAGCGCAATGACAGAGAAATAAGACAAAGAGAAATTTCGCAAGGAAAACTGTTCATCTTCATACCGCGTTCTCTCGATGCAACATTTTCAGCGCTTAGCTAAGCAGTATGATTTTAGCACTATAGAATATCAGTCACTGCGATGCACTAGTAATCTATAGCAGTAATTGTTTACATTTTGATAAACTTAAGCATTCTCCTTTTCTCCTGGAAAAGTCAAAGTTCTCGTCGTTTTTGTACCACAAAAGTGGTAGGCGCTAGTTTTTTTTAAGCGTGGTTATGTTTTGACAGTTGCAAGAGCAGCCAAACTTTATTAAGATTAATAAACGTGTTTTCAAAAAGGACTCATCGACAGAAGAATGATTTGGAGCCGGTTAACGGAGCTGTTGCTCCTAATATTTGTGTGCGCGCACAGATCGTCCTCAAAACAAGACATGAAACCTGAGGTGAGTATCCTGCATTTTTCTCAAGATATTTATTAGTTACTGATAACACATCCTGATCTGTTGTGCGGTGGCAGATGTTTTACTATGTCTGAATATCACCTCTGCATAATAATAATAATGTAAATATATATATAAAAAAACTTGCATATCACATCATATTGCAACTGTATAACAATTAGCCTATGTGCTAAAATCCATAGAAATGAACTACGTCAAATATAATAATAAAAACTTTTTTTTTTTTGACAATTGTTAGCCTTCTATATAAGACTTTACAAACTACTTTAGTACATGCATGCCAAAACACGTGTGACCTTCACTGAGGTGGGACAATTCTTGACTTATAAAAACAGACTGTATGATATGAGACTGATAATTAGGGGTCCTTAATTTAAAGTCTTAATAGTGTAAATCTCACAATACCTGTCAAGAACAGGTGGGGTCATATTTCACCACAAAATCAGGAAATAAATTCTAATTGGCATAAAGAAAATAAAGCCTATTTGCATTGACATTAAACACATTTTCATGTACAATTTAAATTTTAGAAGCACAAAATGTAAAAAATCTCATTCTCGTTATGGATTTGTACATGTCTGGGTCTTATTTCACCCCTCATCTTTAATTTATGCTGATTTAAACAATAATCATAAAATATTACAGTAATTTTAAAAAAAGCCTTCATCAGCTGCCAGTCATTAGCACTGTTCAGTCACATATGTTTAGCTTTAAGAATCTCTGATCTCTCTGCTCACTGATCAAAGTAAACACTTAGAAAATAGAAGAGGAGTGAAGGATTCTGAATTAAGGTCAAGTGAGAGACTGCAGAGAATGAAAGATGCTGAGGATGCAAAAAAGAACGACCAATTACCACAAGAAAAGTCATGCCAGTAATGTTGTGGTCAGATTGTGGATGGATATGCTGAGGATGAGTTTGGGGGGAAAAGGTTTTTCTGCTCCTATAAGCTGCGGGATTTAATGGATGACATCTGTCCTTAGTTACGGTCAAAAAAGAGAAAAGGGGTTTAGACAGGGCGGAAAACTCCATATGGGCTCTTTTCTTCCTCTCTTTCTCCACTTTGGCTAACAGGAAGTCAACTGCAGGAAGTTCTCCTAATTCCTTTAGGATATCCTTAAGTTATAGACTCATGCACACCTGTGGTTTTAGACAATATTAGTGTCAATATCCTCGTCCCTTTGTTGTACTCCTACACAAACCATGACATGGTATTTTTAGTACGCTTCTCGTCATTGACAGCAATGGTCATGAATAAATCACCTGAAGAACTTCTAGGGAGTTTTGCATCATAGTACTTTATTGGGATGTGCAATTGGCCACATATGGCTAGTCACATCCTTTATAGGACAGAACCATAGGAAATGGCCAGGGGATTTTTCCATTCTGCCTTGACCACATGGCTTTAGAACAGATGTGAGATGATGCCAGCAGTTAGTGATGTAGTGTCAAAGCGTAAGGAAGGAAGTGGGATGTGGAAGGGGGTGGCATATTACAGAAAAGAGACACAAAGAGATGGGGGGAAAAAATGGGATTGATCTTTTTAGGCAGGAAATGTGGTGGGGTGTGAATGATGCAAGTCTGCATAAAGAATAGAAGTTATTGTAGGCTGAAAAGTGATGTCATTTCAGAAGCAAGAGAATAACAGAAAAATGAAAGGCTGAATTGGGCTACAAATTGTCCAGTTCCTGTGTCACTTAAGGCGAAACGACCCACAGACTTTTGCAGTAGGTCTGAAAAAGTACTGGAAAGATAATTCCCAACATCCTATCCTATTTAATAGTAATGATCCTATTTTGCACTTTCCATTAGAATTTTTTTTTCATTAAACAGCCAAGTGCCTCAGGTGCAAAAATCTGATCCACTGATCTATAAAATACATGGAAAGATGATTATAACTAGTAACTTCAGACATTTTCCACCAAGCATCCAATTACAAATAATTGAAATAAAATAATGAAATTGGAATACATTCTTCCTTATAGAACCACTAATCAGTAGCATAGAATTTATTCCACATTTAAATGAAATACAAGGAATTTAGGGACTTCATAGTGCATGAATTTGCAGAGTAAATTTTTTGTTTTCGTGATAGGTAAACTTCAGTGGTAAACTTGTGGTAGTGTAAACTCCAATGGATCTTGAGTTGATGTTGCGGTGTTGATACATTTAGCCAGCTGTTGAGGTTCATTAGCGTAACCTGAGCAGTTGAACTGCATTTTCTTTATGATTTGGCTTCATTGGATTTGGATTCACCACATACTCACGCAGATTCTGTGTTATTCCATTGGCCCAGCGAGAATGGAAGTTGTGACTCATTTTCCCTTAAAATTGCATGTCTTTCTCTCAAGTCTCTCTGATTTTAATGTGCATAAGCGCTCAAACACAATATGGTGCCTATTGCTCCTTTACGTACATCAAAAAAGTCTTGTTCACTGTCATATCTTGCAAAACTTAATTTTCAGGTATATCTCAAGGTAAAATGCCTTTTGAAGGTTGACAGATAATTTCATAAAAAGTCATGACTTTTTCAGTTTTCCATTGCATTGAATGGGATTTATACACCTACCTGCAACCACCTCAATGTGTGAAAGGTGTTAATCTTTTTCTTTATATTAAAACTTAGAAATTGGTTATTGAAATAGGTCTGGGTGGCTATGAGATTAAATGATAAAATATTGCCATTTTGAACACTTACAGTTACAAACCCAACATTGAGGTTTACCAGTATTTGGTCTTGATTTTTAGTATAATGACATAATCATAGACTGGTCATCGATGACCTAGCACCACCTTTTTAGCATACGACAGAAGTGATGGATGGCACAGCCAGTACTTCATGTAAATCTTACATGTCCAAATTGTATTTATAACTTTGGGGAATAATGAGTTAACTTTTCTGTGAAAATTTAAAGAAGCCTTTTTCGTGGAAAAGACAGGAAGTACTAGCAAAAAGAGGTAGACTCTGCCGGGATGAGTTCTAATTTCGAACTTGTTTTTGAGAGATGCAAGAAATATTGCGCAACTGCAAAGACATCACTCGTGATGTGTGTCCTTTTTAAATTTACTACATGTTATTAACCCAACAGAATGGAGTTAAGGTGTCTCTTACCAGAAAGTGATTTAAATTGTATCCAATTTCAGTCACTGGATTGCGTAGGGGACACGTTCATCTATCACAAACTCGGCCATCCCCCACCAATCCATATCCCATTAACAGCCTTTTTTCCTCATATGGATATAACACACTGAACCTTTGTTTGTGCTGTGAAGGACTGAGAGTGAGTCACAGACTCACAATGTCTGATGATATAAAGGAATGGAGAAGAACTTTTGTGGAAGTTCAGAAATATCACAATCCCACAGACGAGAAAAGATACTGGGACAAAAAGAAAAAATAGAGGAATAAAAAAGAAAAATAGAGGAATAAAAGTACAAGAAAACAGGAAGTTCTTAAAAAACAAAATTTCCAGGATTACATCAACTTGGAATACATGCTTTGAAACATCTGACTGTGGACGTAATCACATCTGCTGCTAAGACACACACTCAAAAACACATTCAGCCATTATAAACAAAACATGCTGATCATGCTGAGGAACCTTTCTGTTGACACTTTACTCACAAAGACCGCACAAGCTACAACAGCCAAATCATGTGAGCCACATGTTTTTCTCTGTATGAGCTACAGCTGAATGAGGGTGTGCTGAGGCCCCACAGGGTGTGTCTACATTGTTGCCCTTCATTCCTGCAGTAGTGTGTGAGAGAGAGAGTGCTGGAGGAGGTAGGGAAAGAGGGATTACAGGATAAGGGCCCTGTCTCTGAGGTTTCAATGGTATTAACCAGAAATTCCCTGGGAAATTATTGACTGACAGTTTGGTTTAACTGGAGACAGTGTCTGTCTCCCTGAGGGAGTCACAGACAGATAACATTTCACCTTTCATTATTTCATCTATCATCCTATATTGCTACAAACAGAAATGTGTTTGTGCCGTCACTGACTCAGTTTCAAGATAGAGAAAATGCAGCTTCTTTCTTTTGCCTTAAAAAAAAGGACGGTCATAAATCAGTCTAGACACATACTTGAAATATACGTTTGTTTAGAAGTATTTGTTTAAGTGAATTTTGAATACAAGCCATTGCAATGTGTATAAGTGATTTGTGTTATGAACTGTGGAAAAGAACTCTGCCCAATCCCTTGGGTTCGTGAGTTACACTCCTACCCACACTAAATGAAGTTCTTGTCAACTGTATTCCAGTCAATTCCAATAAATCATTTTCTTAATCAGTTATTTGCCTGGTTTTCCAGTAATAATTAGCATCGAAACGTTGTTAAAACAATATAAAGTGAATTGGAAAAGCAAAATTGCATAAAATAAGAAATATATCTTCAATTGACTTTATTTTTTCTTACCTTGTTGGCAATTTTTTTTCTTGTTTCATTGATGAATCTATAAAAAAAATTTCGGTTAAAAAATGGGGTAAGAAAATATGAAAAAAACAAGATATACACAACCATTCAAAAGTCAGTCATATTTTTGTTTTTGCTCACCAAGGCTGAATTTACTTGACAAAAAAATACAGTAAAAAAACAGTAAAGACAATAATATTATGTTACAATACAATACTTAAATGTTTTCTATCTTTCAAATATTTCAAAATGTAAATTTTTCCTGCAATGGTAAAGCCATTATTTCTCAGTTTCATATGATCCTTCAGAAATATAATGATTTGGTACTCAAGAAAGGTTTCTTGTTGAAAAAGTCTGTGATGCTTTCTAATTCTGTAAGAAAAAAAATCTGGATGTTTTTTTACAGTGTAGAAGTATTTACTGTCACTGTTGATCAATGAAATGCAGCACTGTTAAAATGATTTCTTATCATTCTAAACAAATCTTACAGACACTAAGCTTTTAAATGGTAATGTATTAGTTAAAAACAAAGTTTTTTGTTGTTGTTGTTAAATTGTAACAATTGTTAACAAGACAAAACAGGTACCAGGTGCAGATACCTCCAAAAAAAAAAAAAAAATCAGATAAAAGGAGAAATTTTTGTAATAAAGGTTAATGCCATAGTCATAGAACTAACATCTGCATGACAGTATATCCCCATGCACCTCAACTTGAAAACAGAAAACATTTTAAAATAATTGAAAATTAACAAAAGGTTTCTGTCCAATCACGAGTACCTTTGTCTCTCTTTCTTTCGTGTTCTAGGTATGGCTACAGCAATATGGTTACTTGCCACCCGGTGATCTCCGCACACATACGGCCCGCTCTCCTCACTCCGTCTCCTCTGCCATTGCTGCCATGCAGAGATTCTACGGCCTGATAGTCACCGGAAACATGGATCCTGCAACTCTAGAGTGAGTCAACTACCCACCTGATTCATACAGCAGTGTATTACTGTGAAGTGTAATTAGTGCTTCCATGTCCAGTTCATAACCAAAAAATGGGTCTAGATGATTTTCTCTCCATGGAATCAGTCTTGCATTTTTTGAACACCTGTGGCTAGTTCAAGAGATTCAAGAGCTCATAGATATCTCTGTGGAATTATTTTGGCCCATCAGTTATGTGGTTGTTAGTCATGGAAGGAGAGAATGGAAAAACTAGAGCATTGTGTCAGCAATCCTCCACTGGTTTGCAATGAGGCACGGAAGATGTAGAATATATGAGGACAGAAATTAACGGCCATCCTGTCCAAAATCACTGAAATTAAATCTGTTGTGCGGTGGATGATCTAACGTATTGGATGGTGATTGCCAGGGCAATGAAGAAGCCCCGCTGCGGCGTCCCAGACAAGTTTGGAGCTGAACTAAAAAGCAACCTGAGAAAGAAGCGCTACGCAATCCAGGGACTCAAATGGGATAAAAATGAGATCACATTCTGGTAAGAGACAACTTTAACTCCATTCTGCTGGATCAATAAAAGAGCAGTGCATTTTAAACTGTATTTAGGTCATTTTAGGCACAAAACTCCCGTCCAAACCATTACCGATTAATTGAGGTTTGCTGTCATAAACGTTTAGATATAGCTGTGGCTATGCTTTAGTAAATATGCACCACACTTATGGAAAAGTCATCTTTGGCCTACTATATGATTCTGCTCCACTGCAGCCACAGCCAAAATTCCTGTGTGACTTGTCTGTAATGTAAATCACTTTCTCTCCCCCTTTCCTTCATATATTCCTCTTTTTCCTATGTCCTACTTTTCTCTGATTGCCTCTCCAATTCACCCTTTCTTATCTCTTCTCAGCATACAGAACTACACACCAAAAGTTGGGGAATACGAAACGTTTGAGGCGATCAGAAAAGCCTTCAAAGTGTGGGAAAGAGTTACCCCTTTGCGATTCCGAGAGATCCCTTACAGTGACATCAGAGACAAGGTTGAAGACTTTGCCGACATCATGCTCTTCTTCGCCGATGGTTTTCACGGCGACGCCAGTCCGTTTGACGGCGAAGGAGGATATTTGGCTCATGCTTACTTCCCAGGCAATGGCATAGGAGGAGACACACACTTCGACGCAGCAGAGCCTTGGACCATCGGCAACCGTGACCTTTTGGGTAAGGAGTACAAACACCAGAAGTTAGCGAAAATACTCTAGACCTCCCCTGTTTTTGTCAGTATGGATGGCGGTTCTTGTTTAGACATGAATAAGTGAGTTCATATAAACTCAAAATTGTTTGGTTTGAATATTTGTGATAGAACGAGTGAGGCAAGTCCAGGCAAGTGTTGTGTTTGTGCACACTTTCATTGAATTGGGTTGAATCAACCTTACCTTTTCATGGGAATGTTTGGAACATCTCCATCTGAAAAGCTTTTCTTTGACGTTTCCCTGCTGTGGACTGAATGCCCCAAAACAAGCTATGAAAGAACAGAATAATAGCTCTCAGCTGTCATTCTGTGCTATCTATTCTTAGTGTCTCAAAATAGTTGTTTTTAAAGTGCGCTGCACAATTATACAGCATGCTACTTAAGGTTAGCCAAATCTGACCTGTGCTGACATGGTTATCTCTTACTTTCATTCAGGTAATGATGTGTTCCTGGTGGCTGTTCATGAATTGGGTCACGCCCTGGGAATGGAGCATTCAAATGACCCCTCCGCCATCATGGCTCCCTTCTACCAGTGGATGGACACCGAGAACTTTGTGCTTCCTGAAGATGATCGTAAAGGCATTCAGCAGCTTTATGGTAAAACAGTCAATATCATTGCACCTTGAATTGCTAAACCACACCATAGATCTGTCCAAGGCAGGGTTATCATTAACTAAAGCTGAAATAATATATTTACAATGTATTTATAAATCACTTGCACTATAATATTATTTAATTCTGCAGTCAGACCATTTCTCTGTCACAAACCAAATTAGCATTAGCAAATTATTCTGGTTTGCTTTCTAAAGCTTATTCGTTTTGGATAAAATAATCTGCTTGATAAATAAAGCTAACGGAACATTAAATTATACAATTAATACAACTAATAAAACCAGAATTGATGTAACTGAGACTATTTGTTTAATCATTTATTTAAACAGTGAATAGACCAATGCGAATGAACTAATTCACAAAAATGAATTTTTGTGCTGTGTAGGACCAATCACCGGAGACCGTCCAAGACCACCTGTCACCCCGCAGACCCCCCACCACACTCCATATCCCACACCATACGGGCCCGGAGGACCTAACTTTGGTCCTGACATCTGCGAAGGCCATTTTGACACCATTGGCATTTTCAGAGGAGAAATGTTTGTGTTTAAGGTACAGATGGAATATGTGTGTAGGCATTGAGTTGGAGTTGGAGATCATGCAGTATGTGTGTTCATCACAATTCCTGTCCCTGTGTTTTAGGATAAGTGGTTCTGGCGCGTTCGTAATAATCAGGTTATGGAAAATTACCCCATGCCAATTGGACATTTCTGGAGAGGTCTGCCTACAAATATTAATGCTGCCTATGAAAGAGAAGATGGGAAATTTGTCTTCTTTAAAGGTACTAGTCCTCTTCTATTGCATGATTTTGATGGAAAAAGAGTTCAGCTTCAGAAGTAATATCATCTCTGGCTTGCAGGGGACAGGCATTGGGTGTTCACCGAATCGAACTTGGAGTCAGGTTACCCGAAGACTCTGAGAGAAATGGGCAGCGGTCTTCCAAAGGACAAACTGGACGCAGCCCTTCTGTACACCCCTACAGGCAACACCTACTTCTTCAGAGGAAACAAGTCAGTAGCTTTGATATCCCATAATGCAAGGCATGAGAACAAAGGGAGCTTAGATCTGAAACTATTTCTTATCTTCAATCAGATATTATCGCTACAATGAAGACACGCAGTCAGTGGATCCAGACTACCCCAAACTTATGAGTAAATGGCAAGGCGTTCCAGACAACATAAAGGCTGCCTTCATGAGTCGAGATCAAAGTAAGCCTTTCACTGCCTTCTGCTTTTTAAATTAACCTCCAGTCTTTCATAATAATAAGCCTTCTTATTCTGACATGGTTGTTCTTTGTCCATTCTATATCTTAGTATATTGTCAGTCATATGACACATGCACACAGAATTATTCATTAACACAAGAAAACACTTTTTTGCAACCTCTTACTATGTGCTAACAATACACAATACAACACATTTCCAGTTATTCTAAGCATTTGTCTGTTCATTCTAAAAGCAAAAACACTGCGTAATATGATAAAATCACAGCCAATCAGACGTTTTCTGTTCACTCAAATGTTTTGATAGAAATCAATACTTTAAATTAGCAAGGATGCAGTAAACATTGATATTGTCGCACAAGATTTCTTTTTCAAATAAATGCTATTCTTTTGAACCTTCTATTCATCAAAGAATCCTGAAAAAATAGCACTTTCAACTGTTTCCACAATAAGAAATGCTGAGCACCAAAATCAGCATATTGAAGTAATGGCTGCTGAAAATTCAGCTTTGCTTGTGATGAATAAAAAAAAAAAACAGTTATTTCAAATTGTAATAATATTTTACAGTATTACTGTTTTTACTATATATTTTTGCTCAAATAAATGCCCCCTTGGTTATGTTAATATAATAGACACATATAGACATGCACATATATAATTTTTTTTATTTCTATAGCGTTTATCATTTGTGGCGTTGTGCATGGTTAGGACACAAGTCTGACCTGTGTCATTTCCTGACCCCCATTCCCTCCCTTATCCCAGTATTTTCCTGCCTCTCTCTAATACAAGACATACATTAAAAAAAATAAATAAAATAATTACTCTAGTTTTATTGAAACAAAGTCAGGATGTAGGCTTTGGGCCAAAGATCGCTACAATTGTATAGTCCTGACCTTTCCTCTCTTAAATTTTACAGGTTATACCTACTTCTACAAAGCCAATAAGTACTGGAAGTTTAACAACCAGTTATTAAGAGTGGAGCCTGGATACCCCAAGTCTGCGCTTAGGGATTGGATGGGCTGTCCTAATGAGGACTCCAATACAGGTGGTGGAGGCGGAGGAAGTGACCGTGATCGTGAGCGTGAGCGCGAAAGAGAACGTGAAAGGGAGCGGGAAAGAGAACGTGACCGTACACGTGAGGAAGACAAGACTGAGGACGAGGGCAAAAAGGAGGAGACAGAGGTGATCATAATCGAGGTCGAAGACGCACCCAGCAGTGGAGGAGGAGCGGCTGCCGTCGTGGTGCCACTCATGTTGCTGGTCTGCGTGATCCTTACGCTCGGAGCACTTCTCTTCTTCCGCAGGTACGGCACACCGAGACGCTTGCTCTACTGCCAACGCTCCCTACTGGACAAGGTTTAAATGTTTAAGAAGGGATAATGGAAGAAAGGGAAGGGGAGGAGAGGAGAGAATTGAGAATATGGAAGAAGGGGACTTACTAGCAAAGCAAAACCAAAATGAGAAAAGCAATTCTAAAAAAAAATGGTTTTGGTCAAAAAGGGACCCTTTGTTGTTTACTTTAGAAATGATGCCACTCAGACAAATCTCTGCATTTTTATATTTTGTAATTAGTGGTCTTGAACGTTTTGCTTTCACACCTGTGCCAAGTTCTTCCCGCACGCTGTATAAAGGCATACGGTACTTGTTTTTCCCCTGTGTCACTTTCACTTCATCTCTCCCCTCTTCTCTCAATGTCTTTCTCTTCTTTCCCTTCTGGTGTAGCCAATGACGCCAGCTCATCGCTGTTTGTTTAGCCTATTGTAAATGTAATTTTACAGTTGTGATTGTTGTTGTATGTCTGACTCATTGTGAATTCTTACCCTCTGTCGAAAACAGCGTTTGCCCCAACCAGAAGACTTTGTACTTATCTCAGGTTGCGGCCAATGCATATCACATTTCTAGCAGCCTCATGCAACTTTTATAACAAAACCGTACTACCATGGTTTTTGAATGTCATGCCATGTTACAGGGTTCACAGTGATGAAAAACCTGGGAAAAAATTAGAAATGGTTCAACTTTTGTGAAAATTCATAAAAACGAATTAAACTAGATTTACGTTTTTCTAGTCATACTTTAAAATAATTTAAAACATAGTCAGAAATTGCTTTTTGTGAGTGTAATTTCTGTTCATTTTTAAAATCCTTCCAGGATGCATGAACTAGATAAGTCGGTCAGAAGGTGCCATAGTACCACGGTATTCTCTCTAGTACTATATAAATACCTTAGTGCATGAATATCGTAATCATTCTGTACCATGGCATTGCCATCGCTGAACCATGGGACCACCATAGTACTTTTGAAGTGTTCTCCTATGCACAGTGTTACCAGATATCATAAAAGATTATTTGCATTGGCTAATGAAAGGTAATTCTTTTCACTAAAGCAACACGGTTCTGCTCCCACCCCATGCAACTCCCAACTCAGGTTCAGAAACCAAAGTCCATTCCAAAGATAATTGATACTTATCCCACTAACAATGCCTGCAAAGCTGTGCTGTCTGTCTGTGTCCTCCAGTAGTATGGCTTTATATTGTACTGTATTTTTAATAATTACTATTATTGATAATGATGATGTCATTATCATTATGATTATTACTGTTGTTATTGTTCTCCATGTCAAGAATGTGTTTTTTGATTTAAAAAATTGTCATTAAAAATGTCCTGCTGGACAGGCAATAATGTATGTCTTATGAAGTGGCCTTAATTTGGGGAAAAGTGAATGGGTGGGTTTGTATTTTTGAACTGAAATAAATTTTAAAATATATAAATGATATTTTCACTGCTTGTGTTTACAATTATTGAAAACTTGTGGTGCTTTTTTTAAATGGAATCTAAAGTTTGAATAAAAAACAATAATCATAATAATATTTAAATGATGATGATCATTATCTAGAAATAAATTGTGCTTGTTTCAAACCTTTTTTGTTTAAGTCAAAAATAAAATATTTTGTAAGTTTTCTTTGCGGTTTCTTTTTTTGACTTTCTATGTCTGCCAAACATTATACAACATTTATAAACCATTTAAATGGATAACTCATCCAAAAATGAAAATTCTGTCATTATTTACTCACCCTCTCATGTCATTCCAAACCTGTATGACTTACTTTCTTCTGTGGAACACGAAAGAAGATATTTTGAGAAATGTCTGTGTGTTTGTCCATATAATTACCAACATTCTTTAAAATGTCTTCTTTAGTGAAATGTAAAAGAAAGAAAGTCACGTTTGGACACATTTCAGTGAGTAAGCAATGACGGAATTTCTATTTTTGGGTGAACTATCCCTTTAACATGTTTGTTTAGCCCACTCACTCTCCTGCACAACAGAGAGGTGAAAGGAAAAGCAGTTCTCTGTCCCAATCTCCAGCTGCTCCTCTCAACCTGCGTCTGAGTCCAAGACATTTCTTGCCTCCTTCAGCCATATTTTCCCAACCGCTTGTTACCGCCCAGAGTACCCTGTAAGAAGCATATCTCTCATTAGTGCATCTCATCCTGTTCCTCATGACCACACAATAAGACAAACACCCTGCACTTTCACACATAAATTACGATGCCCCCACATAAGCTTATTTCTTTAGCATAGAATGGCTTTTTTTTCTTGTCATTTCTGTCCAAACTTCTATCTCCTCCCTTTTGCTGGCACTTGGAAACACTTGGCCATATAAATGGGACGGAAAACGCAGGTTAGGTCCAAGGATTAAGTGAAACCAGGAATGATTATAATTCTGCAAACCCTTTTGGCACTCTTCACAAGGAAACATATCTCTGTTATAATGCGAGCGTGTGCACTGCGCGCCTTTGAAAATAATTAAACTTCAGATACTCATTGAGGCACAAACATATGTGTGAGAGATGATACTCAATTCAGTGTGTTTGTATCCTTTTTAATGGAGACAGCCGAATGTACTTGCTTTTTGGAATAAGCGACTGGAGATGGATAATGTTTTGGCACTCTGTGTCCAGTCACGAGGCTTTGGGGAAGCGAGGGGGGCGGACGTTCGGAGGCCAACGATCAAGGAGAATTCCATCAACAACATCTGGAATACAAACTGCCTTAATACCAGCACACTGCAGGAGAGAGGGAGGAAAACACGGCTTATCTGTGCACATACTGTTGATGTAATACAAATGATACAAACTTTAACTTGATCAGACATCTGTCTAAACATAAAAGTGCAGTACAATCCAACAAGATACGCAATGACAGGCCTTCAAGGACTGCTTTTGATGTTCCTAAAGGCACTGCGTTTTGTATGTATTTCAGTCAGAGCGTATCCCGCTACACAAGTACTCCATCTTTTTCACTCTGTGCACATTTTCAGCAAGTTCAATCTTTTCCCAGCTGATTCTGCAGTACGAACAACAACCTCAGCACTTTCTGCTCTGCCCACAATTCCCTTCATTTCTCTCTTTTTCTCCAGGCAAGTAGAGTTGAGTTTCCTCAGTTTCTGCTAAGTGACTCATTTCTTTTTCTTAAACAAGGCTTTACTGAAAACATTAGCAGCGCCACAAACATTTCAAGTGTCTCTCTTAAAACACATTCTATCTTTTTTTTTTTTTTGAAGGTCTCTGGGCAAAGAAGAGACTTGCCTGCTCTTTGTGAGCCATTTTACGTCTTCATGCTGCTCTGCTTGTTCAAGTGAAGTCAGTCACATGCTATTTAACACCTCTACTTGACAGGCTGTGTCCACTTCTTTCGATACGGAGAGAATTCCTGTTTTTTCAAGCCTAATGGGAAAAAGAACAGACTTTGAAGTGTCAAGTAAAACAGATTCAAAGAATATGCTGGAAAAAGACATTTTCTTTAAAATATGTTTATTTGCTAACTACCAAGCTACATACACTTAATAAAACTTTGTTTTTATACAATAGCAAAAGATGAGATTTTTTACATTAAAGAGGTTAAATAGACAAAATGCACAAAATGTAACTTGGACCATCACTTTAGCGATTAGCCCAACTTATTTTTAGCCATTTTGCTAACCATTTTGGGGAGTTAGCTAGTGAACACTTCCATATATTTATTAGGTAGATAGGCTCTTGTGAATGTTCTCAAAAGGATCTGTTAATGGGGGAAAAAGATTCATATGTAAAGAAAAAAAAAAAATTATATGTGGAATGAACATGAGGCATGTGAGTGTGATGCTCCTAAAATGCAAACACACGTTTTCCACAGCCTGTATGGAATGTAAATTAACATAAATAATGCAAAGCCAAAAAATACAAGTCTTAATGTAGGACACACATATGATTTTTGTTTCATCAAGCCATAAAACAGCGATTCAGAAATCATATTCTGTTCCAATGGGCTTTGTAACACCTACATACAATAGTAACAATGAAATTTGGCAATCTCATCTCTCTAAATACATTCCCATATGTACACAGTGTTGGGAAGGTTACTTTGGAAATGTAATAGGTTACGTGGAAAAAATCATATGTAACCCCCTTTGTAATCCTTAACATTTTCATAAGTAACTGTAATTTAATTACACATTTTTTCTTAGTAACTGTAACTGATTACAATTACTTTTATTTTGTAATTAAATTACGTAATTCCGTTACATGTAACTAGTTACTCCCCAACACTGTATGTACAGCACCATTTTTTTTTAAAGAAATGAATACTTTTATTCAGCAAGGACAAACTGAAATGATCAAAGGTGACAGTAAAAATAAAAATAAATAAATGCATACATAAATAAATAAATTTCTTAATATTAAAAAATATTAGGCAGCACAACTGCTTGCATAATTGATTATAAGATATGTTTCTTGAGCACCAATTTAGCATATTAGAATGATTTCTGAATGATCATGTGACACTGCAGAAATTTCAGCTTTGCCATCACAGGAAAATTTTAATTTAAATTACATTTTAAAATATTGTTGTAAAACATTTACATTTTTCTAAATGTATTGTATTCATATGTTGTATGTACACAGTGTATTTACAGTTTGTGCACCGTTTTATACATGAGTTCTCTTTAGGGATCCATAAAGAACATGTGTTTTGTATGAATATCCTCATTGGAGACCCCGTTTTTACTGGAACATAATATTCCAGCCTCAACTGTGACAATGCAAACACTTCACATATGTTCTGGTACTCAAACACATTATACATCTTGGCATGAGAGTTTGCATTTTGTTACATGCCTGTACAGAATAAATCTAGTTAGGTAATGCTGAGTTTGCTAGAAATGCACATAAAAAAAGAGGCACCTGCATTAACGTGTTGAGCTATGGGAAACATACCATCTACACTTAGACAGGGTGTGGTGTGAGCGGAGCAGGTTTTTTCCCGCTGTTCCAGACAAGAGATTGTGGGGGAAAAACAGGTTATAGGAAGTAAAAAAAAAAAAAAATCAGCATCTCTAAACTCACAGTGTTGGTTCTTTCCCTCCTTGTTTAAAAGTTCCAAAGTTCCAAAACACTTCCAAAGTGGGCAGGAAAAGACTCCCCACCAGGAGCTGCTG